AGTGCCAGAGCCACTACCATCTGGCACATCACCAGTCCTGTGGCAGGGGAGGGAAGGGAAGCAGGAAGTGACCAGCTCCTCCCCCATTCATTAACCAGAGCAGCAGCGTGGCCAGGCTTGACACTGGGAGGAGAGGGCCGTGCAGTGCTTGCTGCTTTGTGCTCAGAAGACAGAGGTTGGAAATCCCTGTGCACAGCACACATGTTCACAACTACTACAATCGGAGAAAGGGGACCTGGGTTCAGATTCTGACTTTACAATGTACTAACACTGTTACTCCAACCAAGGGAATAAATCTAGATTTCTTGATTTCCTAACCATGTAGAATCACATTTGTATTGTATGGTTGTTGTGAGAATCAAGTAAGACTAAATTTGTAAATTCAAACAGCTCAGTGCCTGAGGCAAAAATAGATGTTTACACTAAAGCGAATTGAATTAGAAATAACACGTTGCTGACTACGGTTACCTAGGCACATACCAATGCTGTTTCAGATTCACAGGGCTATTTTATTTTCGTATTTAAATTCAGATATGGTGTCTAATGACACTTGGGAAATCACCGTGGGGGGAGAATGGAATGCGCTAACTTGCTAATAGGAGAAGCTGTCGTAGGCTGGGTTCCCCAGTCAACAGGCTGGAGGACAAACATTTGTTTGCAGGAACGGCACCCGAAAAGCGGTAAGGGAAGCTGGACTGCACGAGAAACTCTGACTTGCAATGCAGTGATAACAGAACCAATCTCCCTGGGAGCTCAGGAGCTGCGATGGCCCTTCAGGGATGTTCCGGACTGTGGCAAGGGAGGCAGGCCTAACCCAGGGCCGGACAGGGCCCTTGGAGGGCAATTTCTGGAGAGGGACTTAGCTGAGAGCCCTAACCAGGCAACGCTCCGTCCAGCTGGGGAAACCCAGTGGGGAGGGGGCGGTACTGAGAGCCTCAGGTGTGAATCAAGGGGTCTGAACAGTGTACCAGAAGATCCATTTTAAAGGTAAACTTGAAAATGCAATAAGGCTGCGGAACGTTTGAACAGTAAGTTAAGTGAGGTATTTGAGGTTTACGGTTCTAACATACAGACAGGGACATTTACAGGAAAATGCATAGCTGGTGTAGAACCCAGTTCTTTTTCTCTTGCCTCCATCTTGTCCTCCTCTAGAATTGACTGGATCTCCTAAGGACCACTGTCAGAATGTGAGGTCTACAGCCAAAGAAGGAACTTATTTTTCTGACAATTACCTGAGAAATAATTTAAAGATGGCAAAAATGATTATTTGGCTTATTTCTACCATGGCTGGAATACTTTTTAAAGGTGTAATTCTCAGGCTGGAATACTAACTTTCCCCAGGAGTGCTTAGGGATGATGCAGGGAGACCTAGGGGCACTTCTGCATGGGTGTGATGGAATGACTTCAAGGCCTGGGGGAGGGGAGCAGCCTTAATAATTTAATGGTTTTCAATTTACAAGACATATATACTAAGGTTTATAAAATTGCACTATTTTAAAGGTAAAACTGTATCCTTTACAGATGTAAAGGAGCCTTTCAATTTATATTAGAGCATTCAAACCACACAGAGACACAAGTTCGTTCTGCTGTGCCTTTAAGGGCTTCACTGGAAAAGTTTGAACACTCTGTTCTAAACTGTTAGAGCTTTTCATTATTGTCTGGTCATTGTTTCTTTCATATTTTACAATTTTTATATGGAAGAGACACACCTCAAGCAATCGGTCATTCCCTCGGGAAAGAGCAAGTAAAGGAGGTTTACCTGGGGGCTGCAGGGCACTGAGGGCAGTGACCACGCGGCGCCTGCTGAGGGCCTTTGTGTTGGCAAGTGCAGCCACACTCGGAAGAGGCACGAAGGTCCCTCTGTCTCACAGTGTCTTCCAAATTAGGTCGGGGTGCAGTGTAAGTAAAAATAGGGTGTGAACACTTATCAAGCATATTCCACAAGGCCAATGCCTTTTACAAAGTTTACCTCCTATAATCCTATAAAGTTTTCAAGAAGTGTTTCTTATCCTGATCTGATGAATGAAGAAACGAAGGCTTAGAGGTGTTAAGAAAACAGGCAAGGGCTTAATCTCAAGTGTGTTGGTCTTCAAGGCTACAGCTCACTTATCCATGTTAAACATGTTAATGGCCAAAATGTCAAGTTTTTATAACTAATATAGGAAAAGTCCTATAGTACAGACAAAAGTGTCTGGGCTTTGGGATCAGATAGAAGTTTAAGTCCTGGTTCTGTCATGGACCGACTCTATGAGATTTGGAAAGGGCTTAATATTTTTCAGCCTCAGGTATTTTATCTGGAAGATGCAGAAAGTACATACATAAAAGCAGAGCAAAACATGAATAAGCAATGATAATTTTGTTAAAGATTGTATCTGACATGGACAAAATAACCTAGAAGCTTCCAGATCTAGTATTATGTAATTCCTTAAATGACAAAGTCAATTAATATGTCTAGATGAATATGCCCCTCCTCCTCCCTGGTCTGCTTAGGATGAAGCCTGGGGGTTCCTGGCAGTCACTCAGGAGCCGCGCCTGGCCACAGGGGGGAAACCCCTGCCTCTGTGGTCTCCTTCCTGTTCGTATCATTCGGCCTGGCCCTGTGATGCCTGTGCTTCTCTACGACAGTTGGGGATGATCAGATCATCAAATAGCCTCTTTGGTTTTCCCAAGGAAGCCTTGGTAGTATTTCCAGTATTATTATTATTCTCCTTCTCCTTCTTCTTCTATTTTCCTCTTTTATCTGACCCATTTTTGCATGGGATATTTTCTCTAGTAATTGCACAAGTTTTAATTAAAGCTGGTAACTCTGGGGCGTCTTCCGCACGCTCCCTGACGAGTGTGATATAAATGGACACAATAAACAGACCATCTAATATAGATAGAGTCTACAGCTGCATCTGCTAATTAGGACCAATAAAAGGCTTCTGGGGCAAGCATTCCCATGTGACATTTGTTTAATTAAAGCCTTTGTCTGCTCTACTCAGAAGGGTGAAAAATATTCTACTTACAATGTACTGAAAACAAACATAGCCTTCAGAATGTGGAACATTCCATAATAATCCATTCTGAGCTCCCAGAAGGAAACTTTTGGCCAAAAATCATATTTTTTCTTGATAATACATACACTGTTCTTGTCATTTTAATTAAACCAGATAATTTATTCTATTTCTGAATCCACATGTATATATACATAGGAATATGTCTGGCCAGTAAGCTTGAAGGGAAGAATAGGTTCAGAGACAAGCCAGGGAGGATTCAGGCAGGGATCATGGGACCTAAATGCAGAATGGATCTCTCACACATTACCCTAAGGAAGATAAGTCCATTTTGGCCAGCAATGTAATTGTTTGCTCTCAGTAACGGGCTGAGTTATTTACTGTATATACTTATAATAGTTGTTACAGGTCAAGGAATAAGATGCATTGTCATAAGATGGTAAAGTGGAAAGGGCCTTTGGCAGAGAGACAGAAGTATGGATTGCAGTCCTAACTTTGCCATAAATTTAGAAAATTATTCTTTAAGTCATAGTTGCTCTATCTTTAGCAATGAAAGTGTGATATTTCACTTGCTTGATTTCAAGACATTCCTGGCTCAAGTTCTTTGATTACACATTCTTTAATCAAGAGGATTTTTCCAAATATGGTTCAAATAAATTGATAATTTTAAAATAATTAAAATACAGAAACATATATGAATAAATTGGTAAGTTGTTCTCTTAAGCTATATCTTGTAGAGGTCTTGTTATTTGATTACATATGTATATATATGGCAAAGTAGCTTGTAGTTCACTCTAAAGAATTTGTTTTTAAGATATATTTTATTGATTATGCTATTACATTTGTTCTATTTTTTCTCCCCTTTATTTCCCTCCACCCTTCATCCCCTCCCACAAAAATTCCCTCCCCTGCTTAGTTCATGTCCATGGATCATAACCCTTTTATCCAGGGTTCTAATAGCCAGCTCTTTCTATCCATTCCCCATATCTATAATTGATTAGTAATTAAATTATTTTGCTACACAGGTAGAAGATCAATCTATATGGCCATCCCTAGTACATGGTTTAACCTGCTTTGCTAAAAATAATAAAAATCAAAGTGTCTTGATTCAATATCTTTTCTTTTCTACTTCTTCATGTTTCTGAAACCAAGATGCTTCTCAAAATCGAAGCTGAAAGGGACTAGCCTAAGTTGTAACAGAGCTTTCACTGTTTATAGATAAGCAAATTTAGTTGTGTATATGTGTGTTTGTCAAGATAACTTTTTATCTGACATTCCTCTTTTAAGTTTAGTCACTTGCACTATACCAGGGGTTAAATTTAAACTTTTAACTTTGGAACCTGAATTGTTCCAAAACATACTAAATATGCTTTTTGTAATACTAGGGTAGAAAGCACTATTGAAAAAAACAGTCATTCTAAATGTTGACATTTTCCTGTCACACATAAATCAAAAAAGAAAAAATAGTAAATTTCTCAACTCTCTCAGGGCAGGTAATGAAATAATCAAAGCTAGGGGAGACGGATCTGATCAGGTCACGTGTGTGAAGAACTGGGACTTCAGACCCAGAATTCTATCTTTCTAAACTTCATTTTCTCTCTTCCTTCCTTCCTTCCTTTGTATTCCTCCTCTTTTTCTTTTCTTTCTTGAATATTTTTAACCTCTTCACATTACTGAAAGTTCAATGCTGGCATCATCCACATATGTCAGCGTTGTAGGTTTGACCTCTGGTCTGGGCATATAAAAGAATCAACCAATGAAAGCATAAGTAATTGGAACAAACTGACGTCTCTCTCTCTCCCCCTCTGTCCCTACTTCCCCCTCTCTCTAAAATCAATAAAACAAAATAAATCAATGCAACTTTAAAATTACAAAGAAGAAAGTAAAATAACACACAGGATCTCATCACCCCCAAAATAATGATTAGTAATGTTAGGAATATGTCATTCCAGAATTATCTGTGCACATACGTACAGATAGAGGGGTAGACAGACACTGGCATACCTTGGAGATATTGCAGGCTTGGTTCCAGACCACAGCAACAAGGTGAGTATCACAATAAAGTAAGTCTTAATGATTTTCAGGTGAAGGGTCTTGCCTTCAAATTTGTAAGAAACGCAACACCTGTGAAGTACAATAAAATGAGGTATGACTATAGATAGAAATGTTATGATATGTAGGGTTGATTTATGCATATTTTCTAAATTTAATGTACTAACTTATTTTTACTTTAAAAATAAAAATTAAATATAGAAAATGGCTTAGCATATACACAAATATCTCCTTGCCCTGTCCAGGACTCCTTAGAGTAATGGCTGACTCTAGGTCTGGAGCAGGAAATACAGGAGATGATCCCGGAGCATTGTGTGGTGCCAGGAGGTAAGAAAGTGAAAAAACACACCCCCAGGCATACGGGAGCCAACTGAAAGCGTGCCCGTGACAAAAGGTGGAATGATTTGAACAGCAAATTTAGTAAAGTAGTACTGGATTATAACACAAATTAGAAAGTAAATATCCATCAACCACACTGGTAATAAATAAACTAATAACAGAATAGACAAATCTCTGCAGAAAAAAATCGCAAGTAATTTGTGTAGATGCTTCACCCTTAAAAAGGTGAAGCATTACTCCTGGTGCCTTAAGGGCAAACTGGGTATAGTGACTTCACTCCAAAGAGTAAAGTATAAAAAGTGGGAAAAAGAATAAAGTGAAGAAACCTGACAACCACCCACTACCTCAGCCAGGTGGTTAAGGTTAATAGTGATACATCGTGCTGACAGAATGGACCTTTGATCTCAAGTGATGAAAATGGCACTGTACCTTGGTGATCGTCCTCCCCCAAACCCATAACCCCAGCCTAACCATGAAAATAGATTCAAATAAATCCCAGCTGGTAGACATTCTGTATGTTGCCTAACCTGTTCTCATCAAAGCTGTCTAGGTCTTCAACATCAGGGAAAGTCAGAAAAAGGGTCGTGGCCAAAGGAAGCCTAAGGAGAAGTGTTCAGTAGATGTGAGGTGATGTATCTGGATGGCATCCTGAAACAGAAAAGGATCAGGTAAAGTGGAGAAACTTTAAGAAGCTGAACTATGAACTTTAGTTAGTTAGAATGTATCAATAATGCAATGTAATGTATCAACATTATATTAGAACGTATCAACAAATGTAAGATGTTAGTAACAGGGAAACTGGCTGGGGCGGGGATGGGTAGATGGAACTCTCTGTATTATCCTCACTATTTTCCTCTAAATCTGCAATTTTTCTAAAGAAAAAAAGGTTACTTTTAAAAGTGAAGTACTTCAAGAGAGTTATTGTATTTTAAAATTATTTTTATATCACAAGAGATAATTCCTAAAATTTATTCCTATTTATTACATATGCACATTGAAATTTGAGATGTTAGTCATGTTTTTAAAGTACTTTTTCAATTTCAGAATTCCCATACACTGTCATGTTTGATAGGTGACAAATAAATACAATTATATTTTATTCCTTCTTCCTTTCTTGTACCTAATTCTTTTGATTGTTATGTCATTATATTAAAAAATTTGTATATTTATAACATAAATTCTGTTCTATAACCGTAGCTCCTACAGAACTTTAGTTCTGTATTTAGACAATTCAATGCTAGTATTTTACCCCATTTTATCCATTTCCAGAGTTCTTATTTAAAATACAACTGTAGATCCTCTGGGCCTCATTATCAAGTAGATTTTTTGTTTTACAAGAGTAGCTCATGGATTTTATATTTCCTGAGATCTGGGATGCTTGCAAACATCTATGCATAGTTTTATGCTTGAAGGGAATGTACCTGGGGATAAAGTTGCTGTGTCGCACCTTTTACCTGTGCATGATTTGTGTTAAAAAATAAGAAACTGTCCCTGGGTAGCTCAGTTGGTTAGAGCATCATCCAGATATGCCAAGATTGTAGGTTCAATCCCCAGTCAGGGCACATACAAGAATCAATCAATGAACACATAAATAAGCAGAACAACAGATTGATGTTTCTCTCCCTCTCTCTTAAAGACCAATCAATAAATATTTAAAAAAATAGGAAACTTACAATAAATGTTTTCTAAACTCTGTTAGCCTGTATGTATCTATTTAATTAATAGCCCCATTGTTTTTCAGTCTCACATAGTTTAAGTCTAAGATTTTTTACATTCAGAATTAAACAATTATACCGAGTCAATTTTGCTCATTGGATGTTTTAGAAATATATATATACATACACATATATGTGTATATATCCATTATATATAGATTTGGAAGCTAGAATAATGGATGATATTAAATAAAATTAAATGGAGACATGAGAGAAAGGGAAGGGACAAAAACAGTACAGTTGTTTTGAGCCAACAACAATTATTTAAGAAACTAGTATCCAGCTTAGAATACTACTTTCCATATAAAAGTTTAGATTTTAACACTTTTCCTGACAAAATCTGAGAACACTTTACATGGGATCAAGCAGAACGAAGGGTTCGTAATGAGAATTCATGGGTGAAGAATGTGAGTTTGGTACTACTGACAGAACTCGTTTGTAGTTACAATGTTCCTTATCCCTGCCAACCCGGAGAATGGCCTCTGTGCCCACGGTACCCTGGGCTTGCTAGTTCTAGCGTTAGTATGATCCTCTCTGAGACCTCATTGACTCCATGTACCCGTCGCCACAGGTATCTCATCGGCAGCGAGCTTTCCACCCATTAGGCATGTGAGTTGGTCGCAGAGCACAATGTCCAGGGAGAGAGAAATAAACATTCATATCCGGAGGTGGAGGCTGCCAGGTCCACTTTGGGAAAAGTGTCAATACTGGGGGAGAGCCCTTTCAGTGGCAACCTTCAGAGGTGTAAATACAAAGCGAGCAGAAGCTATTGCACTGAAGGAAGATGAGTAGGATCTCCTGGGGTTCAAAACAGGATGTCACTTCGCCCTTTGGTCACAGAGCTGGCGTCTCTGTCTCGTGCCCTCCCCACAACAAACCCAATTCTTTGTTCAGAGACTATCGGTCACACCATCTGAGACTTTTTAAACATGATTTTATTTATTCATTTTTATTGAGAGGGTAAGGGAGGGAGAAAGAGAGGGAGAGAATGATCGATGTGAGAGAAGAACCCACAACCCAGGCATGTGCCCTGCAGGGAATGGAACCAGTGAGCTTTCGTTTTTGAGGGGCGATGCCCAACCCACTGAGCCACCCTCTATATTCTGCCACACAGTAGCCATCAGGGCTTTTAATTGACAAGGTCAAGGTAGCTTTGGCCAAAATAGATATTGCATTACAATGAAACAGGGCGAATTCAGAACAATTTCAGTGCTGCTGTGTCTCAAGAAGATACCGGACTCAGAGGTAGAACACTGAATGGCTCATTTCTCATCTCCGCTCCTGTTAAGTCTCTCCATCCAGCCCCAGACTGAGATCCTTCATTTACATTATTCAAGTCTCTACGAAAGGATTACGTTCTCTATAAAGTTGAAATGACAATACATGATGAAGAAAAATGTAATTGTGATGATGATGAAGTAACTACTTGGTATGCCTGAAGACAAGAGTGCTGTCTAGTCGTTAGGGTGGTTGTGAATAGTAGACGAAACCATGTATGGAGAAATCTAGCCAAGTCTTGACAAGAAAATTAAAAGTTGAGTAAGTTTCCATTACAACCAGCCTTGTGTTCTTTGTTAATAGGAATAGTAGCCAGCGTTCATCAAACACTTACTGTGTACTAGGCAACTTTTGAATTTAAGGTTTTAGATAAATTGTCTTCTTTAATATTCTTGACAACTGTATTGGGGGGGTGACCTCATTTTTCTCATTTGCCAGATGAGGAGACGGAAATACAGACAAGTAAGAAAGTATTAGAACCTGGAATCGAAGCTTGCCCATCTGCCTCAAGGGTTCGTACTCTTAACCTCTACGTTACACTAACCCTCAGCTCGAATTTTAACCCCAGATAGTAGCAATCTTGTAAAGAGTTTAACCGATGCATTTTAAAAATTTATTTGAGACAGCTCTGGTTTTTATAAAAATCACTCAGAAGACAAAATAGAGAAGACTTCATGATGCAAAGATTAGCTCTCAGTGTTGGTGGTAAAATTAAGGATAAAACTAATTGTGTGCAAAGAAATTGAAAATATATGTGACTCAAAATAACCCAGGTAGATATTTCACAGTCCTGAGTCCATCTGATGATTTTAAAGGGTTCAGACCAAGGTCCCTCTGCATGCTGGTTTTTCAGAAAGCATGGTTCTCCCTCCTTCTCCTGTAAGGGGACAATCCAGCCTCATGGCGGGACCAAAGACTTCTGAGTTACTGACATCATGTCAAGCCTCGTGATAAAACAGCCTCAGATGCATGAAGCTGAGACGTATTCAACGTCTCCAGAATCAGACTGAGAGGAAGCTCCAGAGGGACACACGGGGCCCGAGTTTAACCACCTCTGAAGCACAGGCACCCAAAGGAAGTATCTCTGCGCTGCAAATTCTCACCCCACCAACTGCAGCTGGAAGAAAGCCTAACCAAGTCAGAATGCTTCATCTTTATCCAGGCACAGCGCCAGTTTCCAAACGATGACAGAAACTTCAGATTTGTCTTAGCAATTGGCTTTCACTTCTCAATTTCTCTCTTCTCTCTCTCTCTCTCACACACACACACATACATATCACATACATGTATAAGTACAGATGCATACATGAGTACATAAATATATATACACATATATGCCTGCAAACATTAGTGATTAATTTTCCTTTGATTTTTTGTGTTTAAACAAACTCAGTTCCTGACAACATGGATATCTTTTATTTCCTTTCAGATAACTCAGAAATCTCTATAGCTCCTTGTATTGAATTTTTTAGTAGTTTATTTTTATGTTCTAGATTCTTTCAAATTCTTCTCAGAGTCGACCTCTCTAAGTAATAATGAATTCAGGGCAACAAAAAATAGCATTTTTATTTCTAGTAGCCCAGGTCTATTTCATGGTATTTTAGTTTGTCTTTGCGTTTACAGGACATAAAGGTCTTGCTGTTCCGGTCATAAGAAGAAAGAAGCCCATCGATCCGGTGCCTCCCACACATGCCCTGACCGGGAATCAACCACGTGCCCCTGGTGCCCAGGACGACGCTCCAGCCAACCAAGCCACCCAGTCAGGGCTCAGCAACTATCGTCTGAGCACCAGTCAGGTGCCAACCGTCACATTTAGTGCAGACAAGTGTATCATCTGCATTCTACATTTCCTCAGGGGGCAGAAAGTCAAAAGAGAATGTTGCTTCCACTCTAATTAGGAGAACAAGCTGGGGAATATACAAAACCATTCAAAGATACTTAGTCTATTGAAGACCTAAGGGCACAAGGTCACCTAATGAACTGAAATGCAAAAGGTGACAGGCCTCTCCGATGAAAGGGCTTACCTTTGGCAAAGCAGTGAGAGGCGGAGGAAGCTGCCACGGGTAGAAGAAAATAGATGAAGTTTTCATTAATTTTTAAATACTGAGGCACAAAGATCTTCACACTTCCCAGTTAATTCTTTCCCTGGGTCTTCACTGACAGCCCACAAGGAAGATCGGGGATGGAGAGGAGGAAATGAAAGAGACTCTTCCTGCGGTGCAAGTGTCCATGGCCTAGGCCTGAGGGTGAGGAGAGCTAACTGAGAGAAGCCTTCTGCACCCAGGCACCGAGACCCAGGAGGCGGCATTCCATCACATTGGAGGGGACAGGAGTGCTGCCGAGAGGTCGCTCGTCCCAAGACACAGGTGCACAGGGCCTACTAAGCCTAGAGGACAACAGCAAGAAATCCTGCGGCACTCCAGGCCTCACACTAATTATGAGGAAGCATCTGGGGCTTCGAAGACTGTGCTGCATAGAATACAACTGAAACAATAATACGCTCAGATCAACCACCAGAGGCAGGAAAAAAGGAAGAGGGGGATAGAGAGTGGATGGGACACATAGATATCGAGCACGAAGCCCTGGCCAGGTAGCTCATTTGGTTGGAGTGTCATCCCAATACACCAGGGCCATGGGTTTGCTTACAAGCCAGGG